ACCAGCTACGTTATTTTCCTTTTACTTTGTGTTGCCCTCACTGGTATGCGATCAGTCCCGGTTGATGTCGTTATGCATTGATTTACATGATGTATACTTGTTTTCCATTCTAGTAATTCAAAATCAATGCAAGCTGTTACGTTTGCGAAATGGTTACTTCTCTCTACTACAGTGGTGTAGTATTTTCTATAGTGTCCAGTTACTGTAAACTGTATCACATCTTCCTCTGTGGCAGTGGCTGTGGGTTATAGAAGTGATCTGCCTAGTAAAAGTTTTGGAAACGGAATGGGTCCTTGTGTGTGTGTCTCTCCTCCAGGAATGTTTCTTTTGGGCTTTCCCACAAGTGCTATTGAATGTACCCACACTGCGTCTATGATGGGCTTATGTCTCACTACAGCATCAAAAGTTTTCCCTCAGACCAGACCATCAATGATTTATTTATAGAGGCACCAGCCATAAGTTTTCCCTCCTGACCCGATTGAAAGTAACCCACCCACCCACCCACCCCCAGTTGTTTCTTTTTTGCTTTTACTATGCACTAAATGTTGTGCTTGCTTCACTCTTCTCCAACACACTGGTTCAAAGATTGAATGGCAGGTGGTTGTAGGGTGGTCTGGTGGGGTTTGTGCTCCTTCTTTTCTATCAAACATCTATTGTCCTGATCTCTCCTATTTTTGTTACTCTCTTGAAATACCTCTAATCTTCTAAACTTATTAGAATTTTTGTTACAAGTGCTATAAAACTCTTAACTAAAACTAAAAGATTGAATAGTGTTCGGTAAATAACCAGTTGCATGCAATTATCTGAAGTAGAAGGAAAGTCTTTTTTTCTTTTCTTTTTTAAAATTATTATTTTTTTCCCACACATTCGCCTAGTGTTAAATTTTATTGTTTTGCTAGTCTCCTCTCAAAATTTGGATATGGGTAGTTTGACCGCTTTTCTTTATTAAAAAAAAAGGCATTGGAGGCCCCCTATCTGGCATGAAGGGGAGGAATGAATGCACTAACTGTTTATGATTGCAGATGGAGGTCCGTTGTTAATACACATGTGGTAATTGCTTTGGTGTGTCATCTATCTGCCTTTTTCTGCTTTTCTCAAATTTCTGAGCCCCGTTTTATGCTTTTGCAATGATGTGGTTTCCTGTGGCAAACAGCTCAGACTTTGACCGTTTTTGTATTATCTAGCATAGTTGGAGCTGATGTTTTCTGCCTACTTTTGGGTTTATGCCAGGATTTGATGAGTTGTAAGGGGCACGGTTTTCTAGGTCTAACTTCTCTCTCTCCCTCTGTTGTTTTGGTCTGTCCTGCATGAAATGTCGAGTGATTTATCTTCACTATTACTCAAGCCAAATCAAGAGAATGGTGGCGGGTGCTCTGGTGTGGTTTGCTCCTTTTTTCATGTAAAAAAATCTTATCATCCTTATGTCTCTTCTTCCTGTTTTGTGTATGTTATTTTATTTACTCAACACCTCTAATCTTCAGCACTTACTTATATATATGACTCAATTGTGTTGTAAGTGCTGTAAAACCATTACTAAAACAAAGGGAGAATAGTAGGGAATTCTTACCTGATTTTTGTAAGTGGTTTGAGTTGCAATGTGCTTTGAATGGTCAATATTAATGGGAGCAAAATATTGGTTTTGTTTTTCTTCCCCTTTTGTTCTACTTTAGTCCATGGCTGTTTGTCTTTTGATTAGTTCCCAAAAAAATTTTTTTCCCCGTCGGTACGAATGCCAGGAAATTTTAAAATTTTGCTTGGGTGGTGGGTGGAGGCCTACTCTTATCGATTTTAGACCACCAAGGGATCTTAAGCATGTGCATCTTGCACACAGGTCATCCGAGATTTTTCACCCTCTAAGAAGGCTAGGTGTAGATCTTGCCTACCGTAAGATCAGGGGTGTGGCTGAAAGACAGCAGTAAGAGATTCATTTTTGAATAGCTATAAAATCTCCATTGTATCCAATTTGTTTAATGTTTCCCACCGTGAGCTTTTATATGGTTGGCAAACTTTACTTACACAGTGAATTCTGGTATTTATACTGTTTCAAAGTCAGGTTGAATGTATATTTAGGGGATACCAGTTATATTTTTAATATTGCCATGGTGTTGAGAGCGTGGCAGCATTATTGTTAGCTTTGATTGTGTCCATTACAATTCTCGCTCTGAGGGTTTGCGCTGTTACGATTTGGGCCTCTTGTCACTAGTCAATTTCATACCCCTGCTGTCAAACTGTTGAATGAGGTTTTCATTTTACTTTAACCCGTTTTTTCACCATTTCCCGGAGTTTTTTTCTAGTCGCCTAAGCCTGGTGCACTATGTCTCATTATAACCCAAAAGCTTGCCTCCAACTTCTAAATGTCGTAAACAAAGGCTGAAGCCATAGTCATTACTTAAAAAAAAGCATGGTTCGGGCTTCGATCAGAAAAACAAGCAAAAACTAGCAGTAAATGAAACGAAACAGTTGTCACTAGTACCGGACGCTGTGGAACAGGGTTATTACCGCCAGACTGTCCCAGCGTCTGATGGGGTTTAGAGAGTTAAGGAGGGTAAGGGACACCAATTGACCATGAAGTGAAAGTAACATATTGTGCCCGCTTACTTTTTTCTATACAAGGAAATGGTTTTACTGTGTGCTTTTTCTGTTGTTCTCCCCCCCCCCCCTACCTCCCCAACTCAAACACACACACAAATACAAATCCATCATCTCTCCCCCCCAAAAAAAAATAATTATACGAGGTGTAGTCTAAACATTCACATTCCATTTCATTGTTATGATAGTCTTGCAAATTTCTAAGACATTCTTAGATCTAGCATTTTGTTACAAGGGAAGTGAAAAAGACATGCTACAAATATATCATGAAAGTAAAAGTTGAAGTAGTTTTATATTTAATTTGTTTCCTTATTTTAGAAATCTTGATTTCTGGACGGGAAGATGATTCAAGTAAAGCATAGGACAAAAATTATATGTTACTTTTTTTGGATCGTGGTATTGCCCAAAAAAAAGAGGGGGGGGGGGGGGAGAGAATCATGAAGCCCCTGTCCTGATTATGGTTTGAACTTGAGTCCAGAAAGAAAATGATAGAATGATAGTTTAAGTGGACCACCTAAAATGGCCACTTTTTTCCCCAACGATGGGTGAATGCCTTGGGGCAGGTTCCACTAGAAGTTCTTCGGTTTGGCTGTGTTTTCAGTTTATAGTGGGTTTCTCAACGATGATTGTCGACGGCGTAGAGTTGGTTGGGAAGAACATGCTTGTAGCAAATTTCAGTTCTTGTAAGTTTTTTCTTTTATTACCTAATTTGGTAGCTGCAATTTGACCTGTAAGCTGGAAGCTCCATGGATGGTTGGTGGGGGGTCTTGTGTGATTTGCTCCTTCTTTCCTATGTAACATCTATCGACCTTATCTCTCCTCCCTATATTTTCCAGTAACACTTAAGCTATCCCTTCGAATTTGTCAACTTGCATAATATGCTGAACAGTGGCAGAGAACGGAATAAAAAGTTGATCAGCACACTGTGCCGTGCTCTGTGCTAGTCAAGAGAAGTGGGAAACACCAATGTCAGTGACGTCATGAAAAACCACATGCCATCGCATGCCCATCATGTGTAGGTCTTGTGGGATCTGATTTCTCAGAGACAATACTATGGCCAACCAAAGGTCATGCTTCAGATGCTCATTCGCTCTCTGCGTCACTTGCTTATACACAGTGTGTAGGCCCATTGATAGGTGTGATAATCGAAAGCACAAAGTACACTGGTGGTGCTTCTCTCTGGCCTGCAATCGGCACACGTGTACACTTGTCTTTTTGTCGTATCTGAGCTAAGATAAAGTCAACCTGCTGCGGAAATTCCTTATAGCTATATGATAATATACCACCAATGCTCAAAATGGTGTATAGCATGCCCCAACAAATTTCCAACCTGCAACCGAGAAAAATAAAGTCCATTTGTTCTGCATGTGAAAGTGATGAAACGGATTTTTCCTGCTAATTTATGCAAAATTGTAGATGGCTATTGTTGTAGCATGCTGATAGTGTGTGGATTGTAGTTTTTTGAAGACGATTTTTCTCTATCCCCTTCACATTGGGGAGTGGTTCATTGAACGTATAAAATCTCTGTAAAGTTACGCTGTTAGTTGAAAAATTGCTTTGTCTTGGGGACTCTGTGCACGGGGAAAAAAATGTTTGGCCAGGCTGAAAGTTGCACTCTGGATTGCTTTTTTCAAGATTTATTTCTGATGAAGTAACTTGAAATTTTCTCCTTCGTGATATGTTTGTTTCTTGCTTTTAGCTATTGAAATGATGCAAGTGGGTAAACGTAACTGACTGTCCATTTTCTGTTTTCAGATTTAATGATTTTAGATTTTTTAGTGGTGGAAAAACATTCCTTACATGCACAAGTGGCATCATCAGTATGTATCTAGTTGCTGGAAATGTTGGTGTGAAGCCTGGAACAGACAGTACAAACTTGGCGTGACTGTGTGACAGGAACCACGTGGCCTTGTGGACGGGACTGCTGTCGTGTAGTCTTAACCTTTCCCAGCCTCTCAGATGTACATGATTGCCTGGACATGTTGTACTTTGCAACTTCATGTGTTATCAAGTACCTATTATGTCCTTTGATATGAAGGCTTCCTTTCCCTATTGTTTGGGAGCCAATAGACAAGTGTTTGCTTTGCTGCAGTTTGGTATCTTTTTCTATTATCATGTGGAAACTGGCTACAATGTATTTGCTTTAGTCAGCATCAATTTTGATTAAACAGGTGAAATTGCTGGTGAAGAAACTCTCAAATTTTGACCTTTTCTTTAAAAAACAAAAGATTATCTGAGCACATTTGTCATGGTTTGTGAAGAAGAGAAATAGTTGCATTAACAATACTTTTTTTCCTCAGCCTTGACTTTTATTTTTCCCCTCTAGCTCTAACTATATATTTGTTGGATACAACTTTTGAAAACCCCCTTTTCTTTTTCTTATTGTTGTATTTTTTTCTATCTTTTTGTAGGAATATTCACCCACTAGCTTTAGACCAACATTACATTAACCTGAAGAACCAAGTCATCAAGGCTGAGAGGAGAGTTCTCAAAGAGCTAGGATTTTGTGTCCATGTGAAGCATCCTCACAAGGTAGGGCCTGTTCTTTAAAACTTTAACGCTGTATGATTTGAATAAATTTTTGCTTGTTTGTGGTCAAGTAGAGCGGCAGGAGCGATGGGAGAATATTAGAGCTGCGCACTTTCGAGAAAAAGCTATCAAACCCGCGCATTATTTGACGATATCGATACAATTAGCTTTAGATTTCTTATAACCAAAACCAATACCATCCAACATTTATTTATGTAGCCTTTGCGCTTTACTGGATTTGGGACCAGCATACATCAATTACATTTTGTATTGAATGAATTGGCTTTTCAGATATAAAAACATATCTACAGGGTGGGGAGGATCTTTAAAATATGTTCCATTCATTTTTTGTTTTGTTGTTGTAGATTTAGATTATTTCTTATGTTCGATCATGATGGTCTTTTCATCCAGTGTGGGACAGTATTTAATTGACTAAGCTGTGTTTAGCTCGTAAGATATCTTTTAAATCAGCACACTCCTTCCCTGGAACAACAACACCCCCCTCCCCCCAATGCCTCAGCAAATGCAAGGAAATAAAAACCTATGCACTTGTGGTCAATGTATTGATTTGATGTTCTTTTCAGATCATTGTGATGTACCTGGAGGTGCTTGGTAGCACCGGGAAACGGCAGCTGGTCCAGTCCGCTTGGAACTTCATGAATGACAGCCTGCGCTCCGATGTCTTCATGCGCTTTCAGCCCGAGTCTATTGCTTGTGCTTGCATTTACCTGGCTGCACGACAGTGTCAGATTCCATTGCCCAACAGCCCCCCTTGGTTCTGGCTCTTCAGAGTGACCGAGGATGAAATCCAGCAAATATGTTTGTCCATCCTTCAGCTCTACGCACGTCCTAAGGTAAATATCCCGTCAAAAGAAAACCAAGTAATGAAGGCTTCCTCCACTTTAGCAATTTTAGAACTAGGCACAACTCATGTTGTTCTTGTTTTTTTTTTTTTTTAAATGAGCCCACTGTTGCATAGATGTTTCCATGTGGTGTCTTGTGTATCAACCCTGTTCTTGGCTTTGCCTAAGAAAGTGCCTTGTAGAAAGTAAAAATGTTTTTGGGAAAATTTGATGGTTTAGATAAATGTCAATTCTCATTATCTTTTGATGCGCAAGGAGCTAGGTCCTGTTTTATTTTTCCAATATAGGTGCCCTGACAGTTGTCTCTCGTGTTTTGCCACTGTTCTAATACACTGTTCTATACTTGGTTTTTCAGCCCAACTATGAGAGTCTGGAGAGGACGGTGGAAGAGTTGAAAAAGAAGCAGCAGGCAGCAAAGTCAAAAGCCCGAGGCATTCTGTCAGATGTGGACACCCCTAATTCTTCTTCGCGCCAAAGTGAGTGCTTTTGATTTATAAGGAGTTTGTTAAGTTAAGGCTCTGATACGGACCCTCCTCCTGTAAACCACTTTTTTACATGTTTACAAACTTCTGCATTGTTTTGATGCAAAAAAAGGACTGGTAATTTAGGAAACTATGAAGAAATAAGCCTATGGCAGATAACATGTAGGTTTATGCATTATCAGGAAAAGCAAAAAGCTTAGTATTTCATTGTTTTACAAACAGTGCATTGTTTTGACTGGTGTGAGAAACCTGTGGATTATACTCTGTTGCTTAGATATTTACTGGCTGATCTTGGCAAACAAACCACACTTTTTGAATTAAAAATAAGATATAGTTTCCATATCCCTTGGTTGAAATGTAAGATTAAAAATATCCTTGTGGTAAAACTGCATTATCCTCTTGGGACGCAGGGAGGCTTGCGCTCAAGCAACAGATGTGGCTTCTTTATTGAGTGAATTCATAATTCTTATTGATTTACTTGGTTTTCCCCTCCCAGATTCTCCAAAGGTGATCAGTCCCAATCCTACCAGCTTACTGGCCTCCATAAAGAAGGAGAAGGAAAAAGCAGATGCAGACATGGCCAAGCGGTCTGACAACAGCGAGCACGGCAGCAGCAAGTCAGGGCAGGGCAATGACCACCAAGTCCTGTCTGGCAAAAAGAGGAGTAGAGATCACAGCGACGGCAGTGATCGAAGTGGGGCCTCTGGGTAAGACCTGATTTATCCATGGGCAAGCTCTTTGTGTCTGACTGAAAGATAGTTCTGTAAAGAAATCTCAAGACAAAACATCTGTAGAAGTAATTTCCTTGAAAAAGTGTGCTTGGTTGGTGATAAAAACATAATATCCAGTGTTTTTTTCCTCGAGGTCGTTCTGGATGTTTCATTTTACGAAGGAAAAGTAAGGGGTATTGCAAATTAGGGTGCATGGTTTGCATGCAGTCTTTTGTTCTTTGTGAACTATTTACTATTGATTTGTAAGGGAGAAAATTGCTTGTTTCAAACAGGTGGACATCTTGGATAGTGTCACTATAAAGTGGTCGCTTTTAAGGCGTGGGCCTCAATATTCAGCTATTTAACGGATTTCCACTACCGCCATTTCTTCCGCTAAACCACCACTTTCTGTACATAATCAAGATTGTAAACGTTTGTTAAGAGACTCTAGCTTGAAATTATCTTCCAAACCCTCAAATTGGTATGAAATAACCTTGCTTTGTATTCTAGGGTTAAACAGTATAATAATAATGGGTCTCGCGAAAATGGTCTTATGTCGTGATCACGCGGAAAGTTCCTCCTTTTTTAAGATTCTGATTTGAGACCCATTCTCGGACAAGGGGGCTAGCCCAGATTTTAGGGGTTTCCAGAAGTGGACATTGTCTTACCTATTGGAGAAGTTCGGTTCCATTGGTGTGTATATTTGTTTGGTTATAGAGAAAACTCTACTTGTCTTTTACAGAAACTGAACAAGGGGCAAACACTTTGCTTTCGATTTTCTCAAAATAGCATTTTTCGGAATAGCCCCCTTGTGCTTAAAAGCGACCAAATATACAACAGAATTCGAAGGGGAAGTGGAAAGTAGTTCTTCGTTTAGGAAGGTGCTTGTTAGAGCAGGTTTTGTCTGACAGTTTTATAAGCAAAACTTGAAACATGGCAGCAGATTTTTGTTTGTGGATAGGAAATGGAATTTCCAGATTACATCCTGATGTAGAAAAAACAGACACAACTTGTTAGCCATATGTCCTCTATAAAAGTGGTTGTCTTTAGTTTGAGTTTATGTTTGTGTGATATCAGTAGTCATTATGTGTTGTTTAGTTTGCCCAACATGTTTCTGACATTTGTGTTGAACTCTGTTGAATTGTCCCGTTTCAGGTCATCTGGTAGTCACTTGAGCCATCGTAGCCGCAGTCCAAGGTCTGATTCTCCAAGCAGCAAGAAGCGAAAACGTTCCCCAGGCAACAGAAAACCAAAAAAGTTGGAAGCGTTTGGCAGGGAGAAGCACAAAAAGAAGTGAGTGTTGTAGGAGGCTTTGGACCGTTGTTGTGGTGTCTGTTGAGGGGGCGCAGTGCTTTAGCTCGTTATTTCTGGCAAGCTGCTCCCAGAGGCTTTGGGTCGGAACTACTGATCGGCTGACAGGGGCACTGGCAAATTCCTCAATAGGTTCATTTGTTTTGAATGAATGACCAGTGTAGTGATGTGTATGTCGCTCTCGGGTTTTGACAAGAGAAGGCTCTGGCATAGTGGGAAAACCCCCTCCAGAGATATGGAGTTACGGTTTTGCTAGTGGACAATTGAAAATTGTTTTGTTTTTCTCTATGTTCGTCAAATTTAGGAGCAAATTTTTAAATTCTTAAAGGTTTGAATTGAATGCCAGTAGCAAGAATTATTTTCATGATAAATTGAACTAAGTGTCTGTTGTTGAACAATGTTTTTTGTCTTTTTTAAACATCACCATAGCATTACTGCTTTCTGATTTTATAATACTTGGCCTCATTGAGTGTGTTGTGATGGATGGGTAACATTAGTATGTTGTGCAGAATTTTTGTGATACCGCCATCGACACAACTTAATCATTCAGAGGGCGGGCTGCTTTGATCAGGGCCAACCTGGGCGGAGAGGTAACATCTTTTCTGAGATGTGGAGACGCTCGATAAAATTCACCCGTGTCCAGGAATCAATCTGGAGTCTTTTGCATGCTGCAGCGAGGAGCCTGACAGCTACACTGGGGACGCCAGCACACTTTGTTTCTGGGGATGTGTAGATGAGTGTTTTGAATTTGTTTTGGTATTTATGGAAGGTTTTTCTTGATCTATTGACAGTGGTATGATGTATTTTTTCTCTTTGCCAGGTACAGATCACGCTCAAGGTCTCGCTCCCACTCGCATTCACCTCGCTCTCCTGTCCGATCTGCGAAGCTATCCAAGAAGTCCCGTCGAGACGAGTACAAAGATGGCCGGGACTACTACAAAGACAACGGAAGAGACTACAAAGAAAAGGACGGCTTCCGGGAGAAGGACTACAAGGACCGCGACTACTACCGGGAGAAGGACCACAAAGACAGGGGAGACTACTACAAGGACAGGGACTACAGAGACCGTAGGTCCTACACCCCAGAGAAGGACCGGCACCGCTCCAGGAAGCACCGTAGCAACGGGCACCGAGACAGCCCTATACGAGACAAGATAGATAAGCATAGACGTTAACTTGTTTTCTTGTTAGATGACGGGCATTGTGTGCAAGAGGTCTTTGTATGTTAGGATGACTCCTTACTTTGGAACTTCAGTATTCATTTCAGCTAGACTGTGTTGCCTCTCATTGGAATTTCTTTTTCTCATATGTCTGCTATTGTTTAGCAGTGAACTGGCATCAGGTTGCACTTAACTAATAGGTTCTAGTGTGTAATGTTTATGCATCCTCTATATGGACATAAGTGTTCACTTCTTGTAACATTCCGACCGGTGATGTAAAACATTGATGGAATTTTTACCAGATCTCTAGAAAACATCCTCATAAAAGTACTGCCATGTATAATGCATGTTTGAGAGTTGAAAGATGGTGGACTGTGTTGTCTGAACCAAAGGAAGTAGGGGGGGGGGGGGAATTAGACTTAGAATTAGAATTAGAATTTTTTGCTGCTAACAAAATTTTTTACAAAGCCAAGTGGAGTGGTATGTGAGTAAGAAGCTCTCGTGAGAGTAGTTACATAGCGTTGTTTTGTAAGCCATTGGAAATAACTGTGATGTAGGAAGATTTTGATAAATGTACACCATTATTTGCAATACTGACTCAGGACGGTGACAGAATGTGTACATGTTGACCAGATGGCGGAGACGTCTCGTGATGCAGAAATAGTTATGGGTGTGTTTGAAATTGAATAGTTGTACTTTCATGTGTGTGTGTGTGTATGATGATGTATGTAACCTGTGCATTTGGGGACATTAAAGACATATGACATGTATGCTGTCTTGAGAAGACTTTTCATTTTCTACTTTCATGATTTTTTTAGAACACTTTGCCATCACAAGGCTGAAATAGTAAAAACTCTTGCCATCTAAGGCAAAGGCATTTTGGGGAAAATCCAAAGAAACTGAATTGTAAACATGGCTGATCGGTGAGATGAGGCGGTAAAGTGGTAAAGAGAAAAAAATATGATTTCTTTTTTCTACAGCATGTTCCAAATTACTTTGGTCTAGTAGCATTTTTCTGAGATACGTCTGTAAAAGGCTGCCCTGGACCTTATTTCGGACTGAACATCTTTGTGTGAGCTTTTTAAAATCCCTCCTTGTCCACACTTCCACTCAGTTTTTTAACACATTACACCCTAACTCGCCCGGGATCGCCCGGGAATTCCCTTACGCGCTCCACCCTGACTGGCCCGGAACCGCCCGCGCCGACCCAGCGTCTTTAGAAACGAAAGTCTCGCCTTGACGAGACTCTGGGACCGGGATTTTGATTTGCATAGTATAGCAAAAAGTTTCTTCTTTCGTTTGATACCGAAACGAAATTTTTCGGGCTAGTAGTTTTAGTATTAGAGCTGATCGAAGTGCGATCGCGTTACCGACACTTCGAAAGTGTCTCGACTTGTTGAAAAGCGACACGATTGAGTTCGAAAACGGAAATAACGATGGATTTGAGCAAAAACGAGCATGTGACAAATCAGATGGCTCAGATTTTGATGAAAACGTTGTAGGAAGAGTTTGGGGCGATTCCGATTGATCAGACGGAGAAAATCTAGAATTTAGACCTAGGGCCCGACCGCGAGGCTGAGAGTAAGAGTGACTGGTCGGACACCCCGATTGAAATAAAGTTAGAACATTTCCAACAGTTTGCGCATACATAAAGTTATATATTTCTGAAACTACATTCAGTTTTCTTTTTAACTTTTATTTTTTCAGGATTTTTGGAATTTGTTTAGTATTTTTAAAATGTGTTTTTTAAAGGCTAGTATTCACGGGAGGTGGGTTCTTTCCCCTTGCTTAGGATTTAACAATGGACTTCCCGTCCAGGCCCTTAGGGTGTAATGTGTTAACTTGGTCTGGCAATGGCTAAGGCTGGTTTTCTTACGCTGTTGCACAAGTGAGAACATGAGCTTGTCTCTTCATAACCATAAGAAGCATGGGGGGGACTCAAAATGAATGTCAGTTTCTTATTTTTTTGCAATGTCTAGTGATGGAAGGATCTAACTACCTGTGCAATAGTGTTTCTGTTCTGGAGAGATTTCACTCTGTTTCTGTGAAGTGGTGTATAATTTAGAGAGAGAGATGTTTAAATGCTCTGACAGGTGTGAAGATGGATTTTAAACTCGGGATTGTTGATTCAAAACTTGGACTGTTGATTCTGCACTCCGATTGTTGCCTTGTGACATATAAAAGTGAATGCATGAGAAGGAATTGGTGTCTCATTTCTTATCTGTTTTGTTCTGTTAGATTGTAGAGACAGCACTTCAGGGCAGTGTGTATTGTGTGTTTACAGCAGTGTGCCTATGTTCATTTCTGACCGAATCAAAACAATCTTTTTAGTGGCCTCAAGGGAACTCGCTACTGATTTTTCCTTGTTTAAATTTTTGTGGTTTTTCGCACCATGGGTCAATAGATGGGACATAAGTTATGTAGCAAATGGATTGTTAAAAATCAACCCTCTGTATGCTTTGATATGGCACTCTCTGCAGTCATGGATCCTTTTGTTTTTAAAACATTGTAGGTGTTTCTTTTACGCCCCATGGACACAACTTAGGTCCTTTAGGAGGCAGGCTTCCAACCCTACCTGTCAGGACCAGCCCAACAGAAAGACAGTGATACTCGATAAAAATGTTCTCCCCACTTGGGAATTGACTCTGTTTCTCCTGTGTGCGGCAGCAAAGCGCCTAACTGCTACGCCACGAACGCCAGTGATTCTGGTTTAGATACTTTATAATCCTAATATTGCAAAAAGTTCAGTAGATAATCTTCTATTTTCTGTCAAAAGGGGAGCCTTAGAAATAGGAATTTTTTCTCCCCCCGTTTAGACAGGCCGACCATCACAAAACACACTCATACACATAAATCCATGGAAAGAAAATTAAATGTAAAAAGTGCATAAAAGTTCACCTGTGGAATTGTTCATGTTCAGTCCCTTCTCTTGGTAGAGACAAAAGCACAAAGTTTTACAGTACAGTGAAGGAAATCACAGGAGGAACAGTTGTATGTACTCAAGTTATAGCCCTTTTATAGTCGTCTTCTCTAGGGAACAGAGTGAACAAACAACTTATCGGCGCCTTATGTGGACTTGGGTCACGATATTCTGTGTTTTGTAGCAGAGCGACAAGGCAATCTCCGTCCACAAAAACTATTTAAGCAGAGCCTACGCTACGTCCACTTTGAACATCCAGGTGGTTGTAATGCATGTTCACTCGAGCTCCAAATCACAAGCACATTGTAAAGCGACGCATTTAGCAGCTGCCATACTGCATAGCGCCATCACTTCTTTCCTGGCCTGCCCACGGGGTATTAACTAAGCTGTTGTGGAACTTTTCCACTCCACTAATAACCTTCTCGTTGCCTGGCTGAATTGGACATTTGTGTATGCGCCTTGACAAAGGTACCAAAAGTCACCCCAGACCGTTTTGAGCTACAGGCTGGTACGGCAAAGACAAAAATAATTTTTTTGACCAAAATATGTTTCCATTAAAAAATGATAGATCCAACATTTGGCATTCAGTTGACATCATTATCATGATTGGAATTCAATGGTAAAACATAGTGGGGAAGAGGAAACGTGCTTCAAGAATAGATTTTAACACCTTCTAAAAAGTTTTCATTATCGCTTTTAAAAATACCCTAGTCTCAAAATTATTTAAAATAAAATATTTAGAAGTCAAGTCGATGAAAACCCTTTTGACTACACATTCTTAAAAAAAGGTGGATGCATTTTGGTCAAAAAAGTGATTTTTTTGTCATTATCGGTCGAGCTCAAAATGCTCTATGGCGACTTTTGGTACCTTTCTTTAGGCAACACAATTGTCATACTTTCATTCTCCAATCTGGTGGCTTCGCTGGTTTGTTCTGTTTAAAATTGCGAGTCTTCAAATCCAACCATGGTCTCGTCTACACTCTGCTCTTGATAGGGCACAAAATAGGGACCAAAAGTCTTCTTTGTTGTATAAATAACATTCCTTATTTTGATCAAAACATCAACTTTCCTCTCCACTTGTTTGTGGGTCTATTTCATATTCTCAAGGGCCCATCTTTTTAGAAACTGATTTACATTAGTCGTCTTTCAACACTTCAGATGTCATAGGATCTTTTCATTGATGCTATATGGTTTTTAAATCTCTCATAACAGAATGGTCCCTTTTTACATTTGAGCGAATCTGATATCAGTGCTACAGAGGTTCAGCTCATTTTTGTAATTTGTAGGCAGAAAAATTGTCCAAGAGCAACTTCAGTACCATATATTTTTCCTTTATTTTTGTTAAAGCATTTTGTAACTTCATTAGTGTAATTTCTGAATTCGAAGGCTGCAGATGTCTGTGTACTCCACAATTTTATTCCCATCAAAATCCAAGGTCTTGAAGAGTGTTCAGAACTGAGTTTTCTCTTTTCATGAGGTGTGAGTGTGAAAAAAATGTGGTTTAATTTTTTTGTGGAGTTTTATTTGCAAATGAATTGTAAGCAGTGAAAATCAACTTGTCCCTTGAAATATTACTAGTTCGAAGTGGAAGGTCCTCAGGGTCCTGGCTTTTTTTGTGGCAGAGGCACCAGCTCATTTCCAGTGCTTTTTTCTCAGTGGAAAGTTTCGGGGTCTTTCTCTTCTACTAACTCTCTCATAACATGTTTTATCTTCGGTCCTTCCGTACATGAACTATGCGTTGCTAGTGCAGTAAAACTCTCTCTAAAACAAGACTCTGCTACCGTAATGTCTGAAAAGTGTGCCTTACCTTAATTCCGTGGCTTTTCTCACCATTGTCCATTATTATAACAATGCTGTTCACATTCTTCACCTGTTTTTCATGACTTGTCTCACTTTCACCTGCTGGAGCACTTGTTTTCGCTATTGGCCAAGTTGACATTAATCATAATGTAGACCAAAGCGTTGCATTCTCTAGTGTCTGGAGTGTAGTGCCCGAGTTCTTCCTCCTTGTTTGATTCCAGCTAGGGAAAATTATTTAAAGTATTTCAGACTGTCAGTTGAGACACTATGGTATGTCCCACTCAACCCGATTTGGTCCCGTTAGGCAGGGTTGAAGTAGCTCACCTCCTAAATAGGGTTGATGGAGGTGTAAAATGTTCCTTTGCATGATCAGCCATGTTTTAATACCCTTCTGTACTTAATATCAATGTTGTGCAGTCAATAGAAATTTTACTACAGCTTTCTGTTGTGCTGTCAGAGCAGCATAATTTTCATGTAAATGTTGAGGAAAATAGGAAAGGTAGTATTTTGTTTTTTAGTTTTAGTAGAGTTTTTAACGGCGCTCACAACTGAACTACGCTATTGATTGTATGTTATCATGGAGAAGAAAGATACTGTTTATTCTTGAATTTTCTGATGTGAAATTTTGAACAATGCAAGTCACTATTAATTCTCTCGGATACTGGAAACCATTAATTCATGTCCCATAAGGCAGATGGCAGCATTGATGACAGTGTTGTGTGACGTAAGTTACAATGGGCAGACATTTGAGCATCAAATTTGGTACATGATACTTCTGCATCAGATGGGTTGTAATGTAAAGAGGGTGGGATCTACTGTAATCAAACATAGCTTACTTCGATTATAATGGATGTCAGTTGAGACACTATGAAAAGACCATATATGAAAACACATAAATTCAAGTAGTATAAATTTGTTACTGGCAATGCCATGTTTGAAATATGACAAGGGTGGGGGTAGGGTTTTTAAATTCAAGTAGTATAAATTTGTTACTGGCAATGCCATGTTTGAAATATGACAAGGGTGAGGGTAGGGAAAACCCTCGTCTCC